TCCCTTTTTTCCTCCTTGATTTACTCCATGCACCTTTATCCCCTATATATTTGTGTATCAATTCAACGTAACATCGTCAAGTAATATAACACTTAGTGGCATGGCTCTTGATTCATAGATGTAGAACTTAATGCCGAACCATGTAAATCTCTGTGTGTTCATCTTTCGCTTATTTTTTATCTTGCATTTTATATATGTGCTCGTATCTGAAATTCTACTTGGTATCAGAGCCACTGTCGAAGATGGAGGCATAAGCTTCATCTATGGTCTGAGGAGACATTGTTGATCCATCATCTGAGGAGACGTGGTAGCATAGCTCATCTATGGTCTGAGGAGACATTTTTGATTCGTGGTCTGAGGAGACGTGGTAGCAGCTTTGCCTTGTTGTGGCTGCCAGTGTGTTCGGCAGCTTACCGGCTTTAGTTCTGGCGTTGCTCTAGCCTTTCCCTACATTGTTCCGGTATTTCCCAACGTTGTTCCAGTCTTTCTCGACGTTATTCCGACTTTTCAGATGCTTTTTCAATCCATATTGTTTTCAAGATTTTATCTCCAAACTCAAGTTGGTTTCCAGAAACCCATTTTGAGTTTGCGGGGAGTGTTGGAATATGTATTATATATTGCATTGGTTAGGTGGCCACTCAATCCTATTCCCTATTTCAAGTTTCCTTTTTTTCTTCTTTCCTCCTTACTTTATTTCTTTTGTCTGCAACCTATTTCCCTTCTTTCTTCCTTAATTTACTCCCTTTGTCTACACCTTTATACCCTTTATATTTGTGTATTAATTCAATGTAACATCTTCAAGTAATGCAACACTTAGTAGTTCTTGATCTATAAATGTAGACTTTAGTACCGAACCATATAATCATATTCCGCTTATTCTTGATCTTGCATTTTATATATGTGCTCATATATGAAATTCTACACATATCCACGTGCCCATTCACCTACGCGTCACCCATCTACTGTCGCTGCTTTTCTGGTGTTTGATCCCTTTACCATTGGCACCCTTCACCGTCAGCACTCTTTTCTTCATAATTGGCGGCACCAATATCTGAAATCATCGGTTCCAGTACCAAATCCTCACTGAAGGCGATCATTCCTTCACCATCGGTGCTCTTTTCTTCATCAACGGCGTCATGACCACTACATCACCAGCTTCTTCATCACCAGCTTCTTCACCATTGTCATCCTCGGCATGGGCCTCAACGCCAAGCCCGACCTCACCATCATCGTTGTCTGCACTGCAAACCTCAAAGCAGCGGATTCTACGAGAAAATTTCCCTTCCAAACACAGGTTCAAGTTCGAATGAAATGCTGCAGAAAAAGCCTAAAATAGACTACTGGTTTTGATTTCTTAGCCTGAGCTTTCACGCATTTCTTTATATAGGTAGATACGCTTGTGCGAGAGGGACTGAAGGATGCTTTGGTTTTTGACCATCATCATCTTCTCATTGCAAATTTTTGGGGTATATATGTATATATGTGTGCGTATACATATATATATATATATGTACATATATATAAGAGAGAAGGAAGAGACGAAAGAAGCGGTGGTGGTGGTTCGAGGTGGTGGTGACGGCACTGTGGGTAGGGGATTGAGATTGTTTAGCTTTTATTTGTTTTTTTAATTCATTAGGGTCATTTTGGTCAATTAAATGGAAGTTATAGAGGTAGTTTAAAGATTTATATCGGTCAAATCAGAAGTCACCGGGTAATTGCATATTTTTATCATGCTAGAAGTGTCTTTGTTCAATTTTTCAGACCCGGGAAGGGGTAATTGAACCACACTCACCCTAATTTATGTCTACTTGTCTTTTAGGCAAACTTAAAAGGTATGAGGACAAATTACCATAATTAATTATCAAACCATTCCCGTAAAAAATCACACAAACTATTATATTCTCAAGTAGAATTCCATGTTTTTCAAATCAAGAAAGGAAAATGTTATGAGAACTGAACCAAACAACCGAATGAAAGGTCGAACTTAACGTGGCTCGGCCACGTTAGATTGTTTCCTAAAAGTATAAAGGCGTGAGATGCTCTGTCTCTTCGTTTCTCTCTCCTCGTTTTCTTTAATTATCGGTTTTTCTTTTCTATTCAATCTTAGCTCAATTGATTTAGATTTTGTCCCTCTCCTTTTGATTTTGTAAAATTAAAGATAAAATAAAAAATTAAAATTTCTTCATTTTTTGCCAATACATAAGGTATAAAATAAAAATAATAAAAAAATAAAAAAAAAAACCTACAACTTTTGTTTCTGTCTTTCAAATTTTGTATCCATAAAAATCAAACAGAAACTTTAATATGTGTATACGTTCCATCCAAAGGTTTGCACCAGTCCCAAACTAGAATTAATCTTGAGAAATTTGACCACTAGATTGAGAGAGAGAGAGGATAGATAAGAACAGTTGATGAAGAACATGAGAGAAAAACGAAGAGGAAAAGAGAGAAAAAGAAGTTAGCGTCTTACGCGTAGTGAAATTGTGTGACATGGCTATGGCCACGTCAAATTCGGTGTTATTTTCGGTAGAAACCTTTGGTTTCTCTATCGCTGCTCATCAAGAAATGGTATTCTCCTTTAACATTCTTATAAATGTTACATCTTATATGATTAAAACCCTATAAAATATTTTCCAAGTAGTGTCTTGGAGGACAATAATTTTTCTTCCAGACTGTTGGACTGTATGTTTTTTTTTTTTTTTTTCAATTTATTAGTATTATTATTTGGCTGGTGATTTATTGTTTGTCTTTTAAGAGTGTGTTTATCAATTCAGGTTATGGTTCGAAACATTATGAAACATTCAAACGTTGGTTGTCAATAACCTGAACAGGTATGGAAATTGCTACTACAAAAAGAAAAGGGAAAATGGTCTCATAACTCAACAATCAAATATTGACACACTGGATAATCTTCTCGTAGTTTGGTTTTTGCTTAGGAAAAAAACAAAAGCCATGAATGTTGTATAATGTGACCATGACGTGCAGGACCTGGATTTGGTGTAGTTGATTTTTAAATAAGTTGTCCAGAAACTATATGCTTCTAGTAAGTCTTCAATTATAATCAGTACTCAAGAGCAAGTCATATTATGATCTCTCAAATGAGCATGGGTCATAGCAACATGTTTGTTCTCTTGTTGCTCTCTGGTTTCATCATGTATGGCTTGTAACCTTAACCCACGTAACATCTCCGAACTGAAATGTGAGCAAAAAATTATTTTCAACCTTCTAAAGCCAATAATTAGATGTTTCCAAGCTTATTTTGGTGGTTTGCAAAAACCAAAAGGTCAAACCATTTTAAGTGTAAGTGGTGGTTGAAATTCAATGTTAGACTATGTGAAGTTAGTTAAGTAATTTTTCAAATTCCTTAGATTGTTTGATACTTAGAGAGTTATCCGAATATAAAAATTGGATTATTTGTTGCCTAAAAGGCTGCCTATCAGAAGCTAGGAAATTTAGATTGCCTAAAATGATGTTTATGAGAAACAAATGAAATTAAGACTGTTCAATGGTTAAAAGGTTGGTTATTTTTGACAATGAGTTATTATTATTTTCTTTCCTTTTTTTCGTTTAGTTAAAGTAATTGAGCTTGAGGCATGATATGCAGCCTATTTATTTACATTTTGCCTTTATTTTTATAGGTAACAGAGTTGAGATTGAAAAAACTGAACTACGTGCAGAAACCGGCCGGTGTTAAGAACTGGAGATAGAACTGAAGCTGCACAATAAACAATGTTCCGGTTGCTTATATGGTGCATAAGAGATGTTTCTTTCTTTTTTCTTTTTCTTCTTCTTCTTTATTTTTATTTTTATTTTTGTAGGAAGAGTATATTATGAAATTCAAAATAAATTCTGTACAAGCTGCGATTTGAATTAAAGATGGACAGAGAGAGAGAGAGAGAGAGAGAGAGTGGCGTTTGGTGTATCATTATTTTCATTGATTCAAATTTTACAACTTAATATTTTTGCTAGATGTTTACTCCCTCCTATAAAACACTTCAAAATTGTAGCAATTTTCTCCTTGGGTTCAAAGCTGTTGCATAGTTGTCACGAGTCCAATAGGTTTTTCAATTATTTTTTGGCTTAATTAAGGCAGCCCGATGATAACGAACATGACTAGTATATAGTGAGATGCCATTGATATAATAATACTGGTTAGGTCTATTTTAGTCTTTCCTTCTTGTACACTAAAATAAATCACGCCAAAATTGTATAATTATGCAAGTTTTGACAATTACAAAATTCGGCCAAATAAATTGAAAATCACAATCCAAAAGTATAAAATTGTATTGTCAAGTAAAATTGATAAATATAACTCTATCCCATCAAATATTAATAATTACATTGAAATCTAAATTTGAAAGATATAACATTTTGAACCACAAAAATAATTTTATTTATTTAAAATTTCCAACATGAAATTCCTCACAGCCCTATTTTTGTCTTTATTCTTCATCTTCCAATAAGGTTGATCAATTTTCAGTTATAGTTTGATACATTTTAGCAAGCCCATTTTCCAATCAAATTAATCAATTTGATATGTTCCATTTAGATCCAGTCATGTCAAGCAAGAATTGAAAGTATTATAACATAGATATAGGGTGAATCATTTAAGTTTAACAATATGCATAGGGGAGTATTTAGTCGAGTCTTGCATCGATAAATTTTAAATAAGTAAGAGATAAATGATTTATTTATAATCCTTGCCGATATATATTTCAATTGTTTAACTCTATTTTATTATTATTATTTTATTTTATTTTTTGGTCTTCCAGGAGTAGAAGAGATGGGTCCCAGGACTGAGAAAAGTTCATTGGTAGGAAAAAGTTGTCTCCATTTTGTCTTTTAAATATTCGTTGAATAGAGCTGACTCAGAGAACTGAAGTTGGGTTTCTTCTCTATTGTTGTTGGTTGGGAGATCTGAGGAGGAGCTTCGCAAATCCATTGACGAACTCCAAAGTGAGGGAAAAGAGAGAGACCTGATCGATCGGTTTCTTCTCTATCCTAAATGGAGTTTGATGCAAGCCCTTTTTTGCCCTTTTCTTCATCCAGGTCCCTTCCAGGAGCCGAATACGACGTCTTCTTGAGTTTTAGAGGCTCAGACACTCGCATAAACTTCACAGATCACCTATATTTCGCTCTCGTCGATGTAGGTGTTCGACCCTTTCGGGACGATTACGAGCCCAGCATAGGAAAAGAGATCGGCGCTGAACTCATCAAAGCAATCGCAGAATCGAAGATCTCGATCCCAATCTTATCCAAAAACTATGCTTCCAGTAAATGGTGCCTCCGTGAGCTCGCTAAGATGGTGGAGTGCAGGAGAACTACGGGACGACCGATTCTACCCATCTTCTACGATGTCGAACCATCAGAGGTGCGGCATCAATATGGGAGTTACGGGGAGGCCTTCCTTCAGCACGAGAGACTATTCAGTGAAAGTACTGTTAATGAATGGAAGGAGGCACTGAGGGAGGTTGGAGCATTGAGCGGCTGGCATCTGAATACAGAAGAATTTCATGGGTAATACATTCCTGCCAAAGCCCCTTATTTGTTTTATATCATAATGTACAAATTTCACATACATGGAATAAAATTATATTTAAACCCTGGATTGTGTCTATTGAGGAAATGGATGAAAATCTATTTAAAGTTTCTGTCATTTGGTGGGTTTGATCAAAATAAAAAATTATACTAGGGGAGCATAAACAAAATTGAAACAAGAATTTTGAAGATTCTTGGTTTTGTGACTTAGCTAGTCACTCGAATGACTTAAATTCAGTTAAATTAGTCATTATAACCAAAAGTCCGAATAAATAACCAAAAATTTTCCACTTCTTTTTGTTTATGCTTAGTTTGTTTGATGAAAAGTCCAGGAAATAGAAAATTTTCAACTTTTGATTACTAAAGATATCAAGAAAAAAGGAGAATTTTTGGGAAGATGAGTAGTCCTTCAATCTCATAATTAACTACCAAAGCATTCCTGTAAAAAAGCACAGAAAGTATTATTCTCAAGTGGATTTTCATGTTTTTCAAATCATAAATGGTATTCTCCTATAACTTTCAAATAAATGTTCCATCTTAACCGAATACTTGCAACAAAATTTATTGTCTTTTCATTATTTTCACTTATCAACACTATTTTCTTCATAATCAAAATGGAGTTTTATTGTTTACTTTAATATCTTTCAAAGCACTAATTATTTGTTCTATTTTCCACCTTCACATCAATCAGGCATGAGGGAGAACCTATAAAGATGATTGTTCAAGCAGTGTTGTTAGAGTTGAAGAGGAATTACATGTTTTTAACTGACAAGTTGATTTGAATCGATCATCATGTAAATGTAATGATGGCATTACTAAATGTTAGCTCCAATGATGTACAAATTGTCGGTATATGTGGCATCGGTGGTATTGGCAAGACAACTATTGCCAAGGTCATCTACAACAAACTCATTCAAAATTTTGATTGTTGTAGCTTCCTTGAAAATGTTCGAGAATCAGCAAAACAACACAATGGTCTTGTGAGTTTGCAGAAACAGCTTCTTACTGAAACTTTAAATTTGCGTCCTGACATTGCTGATGTTAATAGTGGAATCGACATGATTAAACGTAGATTTCTAAGAAAGAAAGTTCTCCTTGTTCTTGATGATGTTACTGAAAGGTCACAACTTGATTGTCTCGTCGGGAACTGCATTTGGTTTGGTCCAGGAAGTAGAATCATAGTTACAACTAGAGACAAACATGTTTTAGGGGCTCTTGAAGTTAATGGGATTTATGAACCCCCATTCATGGACTCCGAACAAGCTCTTCAACTTTTCAGTATGCATGCCTTTAGAAGTAAGTTTCCACCAGAAGCATATGATAGTATCTCTAGAGAAATTGTATCCACTGCTGCAGGTCTTCCTCTTGCTCTTGAAGTTATAGGTTCATTTTTATCTGACAAGGACTTAAAATCATGGAAAGAAACACTGATAGAGTTGGAGAAAATACCAGATGATCAAGTCTCAAAAAAGTGGATGATAAGTTATCAAGCATTAAACGATGCACAAAAACAAATATTTCTTGATATCGCATGTCTTTTTATCGGAATGGATAAGTCATATGCATTTTACATGTGGAATGATTGTGGCTATGATACAAAGACAGAAATTAATGTCCTTTGTCTCATGTCTTTGGTAAAAATTGGAGATGATAATGTGTTATGGATGCAAAACGAGTTAAGAGTTCTCGGTATGGAAATTGTCCGTAAAGAAGATTTCCTTGATCCAGGAAAGCGTAGCAGACTATGGGATCACGAGGAGGCCTTGGTCATACTGAAACAACGGGGGGTAAGATTTGTGCGCACCAAATTTTAGCCCCTTTTCTTCATCCTTATGCATGTCATCTCTTGTATTACATGTAAACACAAAATTGGGTTCATGGAAGTTCCTTTTTCTTTTCTTTTTTTCTTTTTCTGTGAAAGTTAATTTTTGTCTTTAATTTTTCTTCCCTAATTCAGTTTGTTTCATATTTTCTTCCACACCATATTGTTTCATAGGAGTCTTATGTGCTGTCAGTTTATTTATGCAAATTAAATATATTTTACATGATTTACATTTGGTAAATAAGTTGGTCTCAATCTGCTTTGGTGATGTTCAATGAAATGGTTGTATAGTTGGAACAAAAAGGTCCACCTACTCCCCTTAGAGCTAATAAATATCTTTTGATCTTCAAGCTATTGTTTTCTATGATGCTGTTATAGTTGTCTACATTTACTAATAAATAATTTTTTATTATGTTTTAGAAATTAGAAATCATTGAAATGAAGTTGAAAAAATAATAAATATTTTTAACTAAAACAGATGTAAATAGCTGCTAACAGTCATACTTTTGTTAGACTCCATAATATGGCCTTAAGAGGTTGTTTACTTATTGTTAAGGTTTTCCAATTTCAGGGGGAAAAAAGAGGTTGAAGCACTGATTTGCATTTGGTAAATTATTTGATGTCATTCTGCTTTCTTTGCTTCTGTTTGGCAGTCTTATACAACAATGATTTGTATGGATGAAATATGGATGAAACTAGAAGGGCCACCTTCTCCCCTTAGGGCTAAACGATCTATTTTTTCTTTTCTTTTCTTTTCTTTTAGTCTCCAAGCTATTGTTTTCTATGCTGCTGCCATGGACTACGTTGATTTGTGAATAGTTTATTGTTATGTTTTAGAATACGTTGCTTACTTATTTAAGGTTTTCCATTCGCAGGGAACAGAAATGGTTGAAGCCCTGAGCCTTGACTTTGAATTAGGATCTCAACCTCGCTTTACAAATAAGGAATTTGTGAAGCTAATAAAGTTAAGGTATCTCCAAATGTATGGTGCAGAACTTGTTGGGGATTTTAAGGATCTTCTTCCAAATTTAAGATGGCTTAATTGGCGTGGTTGTCCTTCAATATTTAAACCCGCCAATTTTCATTTGAAGAATCTAGTCATTCTTGATTTATCATACAGTGACGTCACAGAAGACTGGGGGGGTTGGAGTCAGATCAAGGTCTTGTAGAATATCTTTACATTTCTTTGTTCTCTCCCATCATATCATTGTTGCAAATTGATCTTTTTGGGCTGTTTTGTTTTTCAACAGACGGCAAAAAATTTGAAAGTTCTGAAACTTGCGTATTGTTCTATAAGGAGAACTCCGGACTTATCAACACATGCACTCTTAGAGATACTGATTCTTCGAGGTTGTGCATGTTTGAATGAAATAGGTCGATCCATTGGCAATATGAAGAAACTAAAAGTACTTGACATTTCAGAGACTCGTGTAAGGAAATTACCTGATGAAGTTCGTATGCTAGAGAAGCTGGAAATAAATGCCACTGATTGTTTTTATTTGAAGAGGGACATTCCAAGTTGCATTGGGGGACAATCGTCTGAAAGATTGGCTTTTCAGTTCAAAGGCCAAACAAGTAGGCCTCAGTCTACCATTGAGTTTGATACATTGTGGACTGCCTATGTTTCTTCCACCCGGGCCAAACTTGAAAACTTGAGATTTCATTTTTCTTTTGTTTATTACTTCCTATATTGAAACTGTTGTTCTCTTTGCTGGTAGATGAGGATGAAGATATTCTAGAAGAGAGCGAAAATGATGAGGGAGGTACTAAAACCATTAAATTACCAAGCAAGGTTGAAGGTGTGGCCGAAAGTGGTGATGTTAGCAATGATGGCCTTTCCTCCAGTGATGGTGAGGATGAGGAGGAAGAAATTGAAGAAGAGGAAGTGGAAATATTGGAAGGAGGAGAAGATGCTTTATACAAGGCCAAAGGAAAAGAGAGACGTTCTCAGGTATTTCCAACATGATTTTATCTGCTTTCCAACTTTTGGCTTTTACTTACACTTCCTTATCCAGGACCTCCTCACTGTTAAGAAAGAATTCAAACCCCAGTTCTTCTCTTCCGATGATGAAGACTTTTCAGGTGGAAAAGAAAGTGCTTCTAAGAATCTTCCTATTACCCAGCATTCCAGTAAAGCCCTCAAGAAGCGCAGCCCTTCCGAAAAAACAACTGGAAGGGTCGAAAGAAAGATTATCTCTGATTTGGAAAAAACTGAAGACTTCAATTTACCCCAAGATTCCCCAAAGCTGAAGAAGAAAAAGGTGTCTACAGAGATTGTTTTGGTAACCCCCTTATCACTCTTTCTCTTTTGACCAAAATATTTAGTGTTTTAAAATTCTTTTTTCATTCTTGATCCACAGGGCCCTTCCATGGGACACAATCTTCTTAACATTCATTTGGACCAACAAGTTGTACAAGGAGAAGATATAGCCCTTCAAGCCTCTATTATGGAAAGTTTGGCTAGTCAAGGTGGAAATAGTTTGCCATTTCCAGCTCCCACTATTGGAATTTCAATCCCTTCTGGTCCCATTGGAACTTCCACTGGCCCAGCACCTTCCATCCTAGAGGCAAGTCTTTTCGAATTTAAACTTCGCCTTCTTTCTTTCTAACGACTCACGTTCAAATCTTCTCAGGCTACACGTTCTTTGACAACTTCGGCACCTTTTATGATGAAAAGAAGAGCCCTTCCAGCCTTGGAAGATTTATACAAAATGATCAAAGCCACCAAATCTTCAAGTACATCAACATCAAGTGCTAGTGTGCTCATGCTTCCTGGTCCTTCAGATGAAACCATCATGCCAGCCAAAGAGCAGCTACTGTCATACCTCTCTCAAGATGTGGAAAAGGTAGTGTATTTCCATCAAAATCTGGCCAGCACTCTGAACACCCTCAAGAAGCATTCTGGATTTACTGAGAGTATCAAGATTTCTTTGAACAAGCTGCAGCATCAACTCCAATTCATTGTCTCCAATGTGGATTCAAGCTCTTCATCCATTGCAGAGTGTGAGAGGAAGGTGAAGCTTAGAGATAAGGCTTTTGAAGATTTCCAACTTGCATTGGAGCCTTATCCAGAGATTAGAGAACAAGCTGAGAAGCTTGCAAATCAAAAAGAGGTACTGACCGTGGAGCTGAACAGGATTCAGAAAGAATTGGAACAAATTGAACATGAAGAGTTTGAGTTGGATAAAACAGCAAGTGCCATTCTTACTGAGTCTGAGCCTTTCAAAAAGGATTGGGAAAGCCTGGTTAATGAACTCCCTCAGCTTGAGGATGCTAAGGCCAGAGCAGTTGACTCTCTTGAAGAGTCAAGGCGGCTTTGGATGGAATTTGGAGGCAAGCTTGCTTCCATTTAATCTTTTGTGGTTCTTTTCTTATGGCACTTCGTGGTTGCTTCTTTTTTTTTTTTTTTTTTTTTTGTGGAACTCTTAGTCTTTTGGAAATGGTAGAGAATAAATGTGTTTGCTAGAAGTTGTGAAAACGGTGTTAAAGCGGGGTGCGGAAGCTATTAGTTAATTTTAGTCGTTATTAACTCCTTTAACGATCTAGATATGATTTTTAGGTCAACTTACTCAATTTATAATTGATTAAATTATATGATCAATTAACCATCTACAATCATAAATATAAATACTGAAAAGTAAAGCAAGTTAAGGTTAGAGAGATTGTACCAGGATTTTTAACTGTTTGTATGGGAAAAACTTTGTGGACTGTTTAGCCCAAAGTAAAACGATTCACTATGTTTGAAACAAAGTACATACTCTGGCTCACACCCTATCGTTTTATCAAACACCAATTGTTAACAATCATCTGGCTTTGCAATGTTCCGTCTAACAGCAACTTGACCTCAGGCTTATGCTTGATCTTTATAGAAGAGTAGCAGGTAGATCAGATAACACTCTTCGAATGCTCTGATCCTTTCAAAGTGTGGTCTCTTTTACTTCTGTTCTTCAAGATCTGAACTCGATTTAGAAGAATTAAATTATGTTTTTTCTCGGAATCTCTGAATTTTCCGATGAGATAGAGAACAACACTACTAAATCACTCATGAAAATATATGTGTGCTCTCAAAAATTCATTCAGAATAATCAAATTTGATTTTTTAAATTTTCTTTCTCTAAAGGCTTTCTCAAAATATAGAATTGATGTTCCTTAAAGTCATGAATAAATTTAGATGACTATCAAGGTTTATATAGAGTTTCGAATGTCCTAATCCCTCTGAAAATATAGAAAATTTCGTGCATAGGACTTGGAAAGAAGTTTAGTCCAAAAAGGAATTAAACAGAGCAAGAAAGGCAAGTTTCCAAAAGCCTTGAACCGGTTCAGGATTCCTTAAATCGGTTCGAGAAGGCCAGCAATGATTTCGGAGGTTCTCTTTGACTGTTGAACCGATTTAGCTTTTCTTGAACCGGTTCAAGATGGCCAATCTTGAATTCTGCTGATGTTGAACCAGGTCAGCTTTTCTTGAACCAGTTTAAGATCTTCTTCCAAATTTAAGATGGCTTAATTGGCGTGGTTGTCCTTCAATATTTAAACCCGCCAATTTTCAATTGACGAATCTAGTCATTCTTGATTTATCATACAACGACGTCACAAAAGACTGGGGGGGTTGGAGTCAGATCAAGGTCTTGTAGAATATCTTTACATTTGTTTGTTCTCTCCCATTATATCATTGTTGCAAATTGATCGTTTTGGGCTATTTTGTTTTTCAACAGATGGCAAAAAATTTGAAAGTTCTGAAACTTGCCTATTGTTCTATGAGGATAACTCGGGATTTGTCAACACATGCACTCTTAGAGATATTGATTCTTCGTGGCTGTGCATGTTTGATCGAAATAGGTTGATCCATTGGGAATCTGAAGAAACTAAAAGTACTTTACATTTCAGAGACTCATGTAAGGAAATTACCTGATGAAGTTTGGATGCTAGAGAAGCTGGAAATAAATGCCACTGATTGTTTTTATTTGAAGAGGGACATTCCAAGCTGCATTGGGGGACAATCGTCTAAAAGATTCTTGAGCTCTGTTGCCTCAGAACCGCGTTGCTCAATTTTTATTTTATTTTTTATTTTAGTAGGAGCTAGATTGCACAGAGCGTCAACTGCTGCCAGATAGCTTTTGTGAAGCCCTCAGGTCTAAAGAATTTGAATGTCGCCTGTATCCTTAATCTTGCTATAATCTAGTTAATTTACAAGAACTGCACTTTCTTGCGATTGTCAATCTTGGGAACTCTGTCTACAGTTTTTGTTACTGAGAAATTAACAGGTAAAACGTTACAGTTTCAATACCACTGATGCGAAGAAATCACCCAATGGTCAATATTAGTAAACCATGCATAAATTTGTGACAATTGTTCTCTTGCTAGTTAATATTAAATTAGTGATCATATTTTAAGTAGATAAAAATCTCTGACAGTTATCTTTTATTTTTGGTCTGGTAAGAAATTCAAATTTAATTTCTTGATTTAAAAAATTTTGTTCTAATTTCACCATTCTCTTAATACCTTCATTTGAAATTTTCTGAATTTGGAAGATATATAATTTTTCTTTCCAAAATGAAATTTTTTAACTTCTTAACACTTCCAAGGCTTTTTTCCTTGTGAAATCGTCACAAATTGAAAATCTGAGTTGAAAGACCACAGGAGACAAGTGGAGTTGAGGAGAATGAAGCTGCAACGGAAGAATTGTGGAAGCAATGGCAGCTTGCATTATGGAAGCAGATGTGCATGTTATTGGTGAACATTGGTCATGGTCCAGTTGGCAAAGGATTGTTGCAAGAACATCATTAACTTGTGGTTTGGCTTGTCATTTATTAAATGATTAAAACCCTACAAAATATTTTCCAAGTAGTGTCTTGGAGGACAATAATTTTTCTACCAGGCTGTTGGACGGTATGTTTTCTTTTTCAATTTATTATTGTTATTATTATTTGGCTGGTGATTTTGTGCCATCCGATATTCTTCCCAAATGTTTGTGAAATTAGGATAACTGAGAGAATAATCAGAAGAGAAACTAGGAGAGAGAAATGAATGAATTAACTGAGAGAGAGAAGTCACTGTACAACTTAATCAACAATATTAATTCATTTTTTTATTTCAAGAGTTAAATTTTTTTAAAAAACAAAGGATAAGAAAAGCAGGAGGAAGGAGAGAAGAGAGAGAAAGGGAGGAGAGAGCAAAAAAAAAAAAGGTGAAAAAAAATAAAAAATATATATAAAAGAGAAGGAGGGAGGCAAAAAATGGAGGAGATGGAAGAGAGAGAAAAGAGGGTTTTGCTTGACTGAGTTAAGTACCCACTCTTAACTCATGATTGGCCATTGAATTATATGAGTATCCACTTTTTATCTATTGTTATTCATTTACTTAAATTTAAATGTACAAATGATTTAATTTTAGTGAGCAGATTTGGGCATTTATTGGGTTGCTTAAATTGACAACCCTTGCTAAATTGACATAATATCCTTATTTGCACAAATTGTAAAATGTAGAGGAATTTTTCAAACAACAGGAGTTAATTGCACATTTTGTATATTATGAGAGGTTGTTTTTACACCTAATCCTTAATTAAACCTCATTTTGAGGTTTGTTTATTCATAAGTTGACGCGCTTTGATTGGTAACAGGAAAGTGGTTTCTAATCAAATCAATGTATTAGCCGGCAAATAATTATATGATCAAGTCAATAATGTATTAGCGGGCAAATAATTGTTCTAAACAAATTCATAAATGAATAGACTTGAGGACCCAACATGATGAACAAAACCATGTATCGTAGAGACAGTGACTTAAGAATAGCTTCAAAATGATATTATTGTTACTATTTCATTTAGAAGTTATATAAAATAAATGATTTATGTGTGAATTCATGAATGAATAATAATTTAATCACATCAATATTAAAAGTTGACTAGTTGTTCATGAAATTGAAATTGAGGTCATTAGTAAAAAAAAAAAAAAAAAAAAAAAAATGAAATTGAGGTGTGACATGATCGAGGTTTGTTTATTCACAAGCGGCCGCGCTTTGATGGGTAATAGGAGAGGGATTTGCGGCTTCATAATGGGATGAGCATGGCCCAGTATCACTACTCTACGGAAAAGTATAATTAAATCAATGTATTAGTTAGTAAATAATTGTTCTGAACAAACTCACATGTGAATACACTTGCGGATGAGGTGTGGTGGCCCTACCCTATTGATCGTAGATTGATAAAAAAAATAAAAAAAAAAATACATGAAGAGGACCATTTCTATATATAACTATATCAACTTGACTTACTTGAAGACAAACCACATTATTTTTATATAAAAGTTTTTCACTTTTTAGTTTTATTTTTTTTGTCTATCTTTTGGTGAAAAGTGCTTATCACCATTTTCATGGTTATTAGCCCAAATCTATATAATTAAAACGCAATTTATTACGGATGGAAGAATAAATGACAAAAGAATCTTGGATGTTAACGGGGAAGATGATATTTAATTTTTAATCACTCTATATTACGGTATTTGAGAAACTCTAACCTTTACAATTGAATTACTGAACCTCTTTGCAAATTTTTATAAATTCTCCAAGTAGCACTCGTTTAATATTTTCAATTCACTTCACTCTTATACCTTTTAGCTCATTTATATTTGGTCCACCAACAATCATCACAAACCAATAAAAAATAGAAGTAGAAAGTAAAATTAAGCAGATTATATTGAAGCCACTATTTGGAGAAATAAACCATAAGTGACTTTTGATTTCTTAAATAATTGAATCGTGTTTGGCAGAGGCAGTAGTTCTTCTATTGGTATGTAAATATGTACCCTATCACATTAGAAAATAAGGACTTTTTGATTTTTATTATTATATATTTTTAAAAATTTGTTATTTGCGTATTTTAGATAATTCAATGGCTAAATTGACCTAATATCCTTATTTGCACAAATTGTAAAATGTAAGGGAGTTTTTCGAACGACATAGGATTAATTGCACATTTTATATATTATGAAGGATTTTTTTGCACTCAACCCTTAACTAAACCTCATTTTGAGGTTTGTTTATTTACAAGTGGACGCACTTTGATTGGTAATAGGAAATTGATTTCCAGCTTGTTGGGAGATGAGCATTGGCCCAGCATCGCCTATTATTATAATCAAATCAATGTATTAGCCGGCAAATAATTTATATGATCAAGACAATAATGTATTAGCCGGGGAATAATTGTTCTAAACAAATTCATGAATGAATAGACTTGAGGACCCGCCATGATGAACAAAACCATATATTTTAGAAACAGTAACTTAAGAATACCTTCAATATGATATTCTGTTGTTACTATTTCATTTAAGTGTTATATATAAAACAATAAAAAATAAAAAATAAAGGTTGATTTATGTGTGAATTTATGGACGAATAATAAATTTAATCACATCAATATTAAATGTTGATAGCTGTCCATGAAATTGAAATTGAGGTGTGACATGAGATTTGTTTATTCACAAGTGGCCGTGCTTTGATGGGTAATAGGGAAGTGATTTGCAGCATCATTATGGGATGAATATTGACCATCACCTACTCTATCAGAAAGTATAATTAAATCAATGTATTAGTCTGTGGTGACCCCACTCTATTGATTATAGGTTAAAAAAAAAACAACGA